TTATAAATGCCCTTTGCCTCCTATATCTTTCCTCTATTTCTTTTTACTTTTCTCATGTCCTACTATCATGTTCAGCCTTCATTTGGGTTTCAATAATTCCTCTCAGTTACATTGCCCTTGATCAAGCCCTACCAGGCCTCCTATATCCTCCTTGCCTTTGATTTTGGATCACTTGTTGTTCCCTTGTCCCTGGGTTTGTTAACACCCACTTTCTTTCCCCTGCCTTCCCCTCTCCCATGTACCCCCAGAACCACCGGTCCAGTTATTTTCTCCACCAGATTGTTTATCCCGCCTATCTTATGTAGATAGACCTGCAGAGATAATAATATGTACAAAAACCAAGATAGAAGAAAACAAAGCAACAAAAGAAAACAAGCAAAAAACCAAGGACCAGAAAAAGAAAAGAAAAGGAAAGCCTGTAAATCGTTCAAGGTCTGTTTTTTGACCTTTAGGAGTGTGTTCCGGTTGAGTTTGATGTGGTGCCACACCCTGGCCCCAAAGTCTGTTCTGGTATTCCCTCGGGACTTCTTGCTCTGCTCCCCTTGCTGTTCTGTTGCATGCCCTTAGTGTTTTGCCTCAGTGTGGTGGGATCAGATAGGGCACAATTCCCACACTGTGTCTCCAGTGTTGTCCCCCATAGGGCTTTGGGTCAGTGAGGGATGTTGAGTCTCATAGTGAAGCTGGCCCTCTGGTCCTCTCTGTGCATTGACTGGCTGAGCAGGGATATGGCCCTCAGGGCTTTTGGGGCAGGATATGCTCCACACTTTCGTCTCCCTTTATTTGCTCCTGTGTGCTCTGATCAGACATGTCCCTTTCCCTGAGCTGTAGCTTCAGTGCTGTCCTCTGAAGTGAATTCTTAGTTGGAATTGGGGCCGGCCTCGCAGACCTCTTTATTGGTTCCCTGCTTCGTGCCGGTATGTTGCATTCATGTCTTGGAGCACCGAGGTAGATTATCTTTAGGTAAGAAGAATACTTTTTTTAAAAAGGAATGCAGTATGAGCAAACTACTCTTCATAAGATTTTTTTTTTTTGTATATATGACCCCATCTAAAGTTTTCTTTTTTTTTTTAAACCTTTTATTAGGGGTTCATACAACTGTTATCACAATCCATACACACATCAGTTGTGTAAAGCGCATCTGTACATCATTCTCAAAACATTTTCTCTCCACTTAAACCCCCAACATTAGGTCCTCATTTTTCCCTTCCCTCCCTGCTCCCCCCTCCCTCATGAGCCCTCGATAGTTTATAAATTGGTATTTTGTCATATCTTGCCCTGCCCAACGTCTCCCTTCACCCACTTTTCGGTTGTCTGTCTCCCAGGGAGGAGGTCACATATAGTTCCTTGTAATCAGTTCCCTCTTTCCTACCCATTCTCCCTTTACCCTCCCTGTTTCGCCACTCACACCACTGGTCCTATAGGGCTCATCCGCCCTGGATTCCCTGTATTTTCAGTTCCTATCTGTACCAGTGTACATCCTCTGGTCCAGCCAGACTTGCAAGGTTGAATTCGAGTCATGGTAGTGGGAGCGGGGAGAAAACATTTAGGAACTAGAGGAAAGTTGTATTTCTCATCGTTGTTACATCGACCATCTAAAGTTTTCATGGCAGATGCTCAGCTAATTTCTTTTCACTTTTGCAGATTCTCTGTCGGCATTGCGGGCCAGTAGAAAACCTGATGGGAGGAGGAGGCTGGTTGCCAGCCATGCTCTTTTTTCCTGGTGGAATGTCTTAGAGCCTTGAGGAGGCCATAGGTCACTTTGTTACCCTCTTTGGGACATCTCTAAAAGTTATGGAGATTGGCGCATGACCATAGCTACTGTTCAGTTGAAAAGGTCTTCAAGATTGACCAGTGAATTATAATCTTCCTGTTGGGAAGTTGATCAGACTTATTGCTGTCTCACGTCCTTCAATTATTAGTTGACAACCTACTTTTATTATTGTTTCTCCCCTTCATGAAGCTGTATGCTCACAGCAAACTAGGTCAGTCAGGAACCCTAGCACATTGAGGGTTTTTACCCCAGTCCTTTTGCTGTACACATCTTGACTCTTCGAAACTGAGTATACCTACTTTAAGTCATTGTCAAGGCTTTAATATACTTAGCCATTTCTATTGCTTGATTTGGGCTGCTGCTAACATTTTTCTATTTAATCTATGATTGTCATATTGTTTCTAAACAATTCATTGATAATTGTCTGATTAAAACTAGATGATATACTGGAGTAAACTCAAAACCGTATTAAAATGCTAGTCCTGAAATTAGTATTGAAAGTAGTTTTAGTAGGCCTCTAATTCCTTTTGGACAACTTGTGGGGCACCAGCCTCCACAATCAAATGAGTCCAAGGGGTGGTTCTATAATTGAGGGGTAAAATTAAAGAGACATCAGACAAGATAAAGCATGGGAGTGCTCACCTCTGGGAGGGCCATGATTTCAGCAGCCAGGTCCGTGCAGAGAGACCAAATATATTTCTAACCAAGGCTTAGATATACTCGGGTTGGGCAAGCCCCCCTAATTACAGGTAACCACATGCGTACAGGAGGCATATGCATGAGAGGAAGGGAACAAGCCAGGGGTGTACACGCGATAGGAAGGGGAGGCACTAGAGCAGTGGTTCTCAACCTGTGGGTCACGA